TTTCTTCAAAAGTTTCACATAATTCATCAAGAGCAGAAGAAATTTGAGTAGAAACACAAGCTACTTTAGGTTTACTAGAATCCGAAACAGATTGATCTTTTTTACGACGCATTGAAGGAGCACGCATAGGTTTAACAGATTGTTGAGCAGCAACAATAGTATCATCATTCCTTGGATGAGATTCAGTAGCAACAGCTTTATCAGTAAAAAGACCAGCAATGAATTGATTACTAGAAGAAATTGAACCTTCACTACTACGAAATAGAGAAACAAAATCTGCACCAAGATTATCAATATTTTTTTCAAGGAAACCAGAACTATCATAAGTAACTTGACCAGCAAAATGTCGAATGCCAAAAGTTGGAAGAGAGTTCAAACTTTTTCCAGTAGGAATGAAAGAAGCATGTTCAGAATATTTTTTGTTGAAAGCATCCAACATAGTTTGATCAGTTTTACGATTTGATTTGTTAGCTTGATCGTTCATGATGGAAATTAAACCAGTGGAAGGTTTAGCGATCATACGTAAACATTCTTTATTATCAGGATAAGGTATGTCGGAAAAGTTGATGCCTTCAGATTGAAATTCCTCTTTACGAGCCTCAAAAATTTGATTTAAAGTGAAATTAAAAATTTTTTCATTTGCAAAATTGACGCAGAATTGATCTAGAGAATTAGATTGTAAATTTTGAAAACCAATTAAATCCAAGATGCCGATAAAACTATTGAAATCATCTTGACAAAGTTTAGTGTTAATGTATTCAACGATCCAGCTGAATAATAAAGAATAAAGAGCCTTTGCAAAGTCATCACGTTGTATGGAAGCGGCATCAGCATCTAAGAATACAGTACAAATTTCCTTTTTTATTAATTTTGTTTTATAAGTGAGAACATTTTCTAGAGAACGAGGATCGAGGCCTAAGAAGTCAGCGACCAAGTTTAGAACGTCCAAGTTTTTAACGGAAGCAGCCTCCTTTTGTTTATTAGAATCTTGAACGAATTGTATATTACCCAAATGTAAAATTGAAGCCAAAAGTTGAAACATTTGAGCGACATGTTTTTTATGAAAACCCAGAGATTTTAGAGCTTGTTTCAATTCATTGAAATTATCGACATCTTCAACAGAAGATTTAGAACCTTTAGGGACATTAAGATAACGGTAATTAAAAATTTCCGTAAGATGAAGATGAGCTTTTTCTTCTTGAGAAGCACCAGCGATTAAATAATAAAAAACGTGAAAGTTTCGTTCATTTGAAGGAACATTAGAGACACGATTTTTTTCCAAAAGGTAATCAAGAGTTTTAGCACCGATTAATTTTCCACGTTCATTAAATTGAAGTTCGGTATACTTTCCAAATCTAGAAGCATTATTATTGGAACAAGTTCTTGCGTTACCAAAAGAATCCAGAATAAACTCGGAACAAGGGACCTGAGATTGAATACGAGAAGCTTTTTTATGATGAGCACTTAGAGCGGTTAATTGTTTTACTAAAAGTTTTCTAGTTTCTGATTTTCCACTCCCAGATTCACCACTTTTTTTTAAAAAGAATTTTTAAAAAAGAATTAGATAATAATAAAAGAAAAAA